ACCCACACACTCACCCACTCACCCACTCACTCACCCACTCACTCACACACTGACTCACCCACTCACTCACTCACCCACTCACTCACTCACCCACTCATTCACCCACTCACTCACTCACTCACCCACTCACTCACCCACTCACTCACTCACTCACCCACCCACTCACCCACTCACTCACACACTCACTCACTCACTCACCCACTCACTCACTCACTCACCCACTCACTCACTCACTCACACACTCACCCACTGACACACTCACTCACTCATTCACCCACTCACTCACTCACTCACTCACACACTCACCCACTCACCCACTCACCCACACACTCACCCACTCACTCACCCACTCACCCACTCACTCACACACTCACCCACTCACCCACTCACCCACACACTCACCCACTCACTCACCCACTCACACACTCACTCACCCACCCACTCACTCACTCACTCACCCACCCACTCACTCACCCACTCACTCACTCACTCACCCACTCACTCACTCACTCACCCACTCACTCACCCACCCACCCACTCACCCACCCACCCACGTATCCACCCACCCATCCACCCACCCACTCACCCACTCACCCACCCACCCACTCCTCACCCACTCACCCACCCACGTACCCACCCACCCACTCACCCACCCACTCACCCACCCACGTACCCACCCACCCACTCACTCACTCACCCACTCACTCACCCACTCACTCACACACTCACTCACTCACTGACTCACTCACTCACTCACTGACTCACTCACTCACCCACTCACTCACACACCCACCCACTCATCCACTTACTCACTCACTCACTCACCTACTCACTCACTCACTCACCCACTCACTCACCCACTCACTCACTCACTGACTCACTCACTCACTCACACACTCACTCACTCACCCACTCACTGACTCACTCACTCACTCACACACTCACTCACCCACTCACTCACTCACCCACTCACTCACTCACTGACTCACTCACCCACTCACTCACTCATTCACACACTCACTCACACACTCAGTCACCCACTCACTCACTCACTCACCCACTCACTCACTCACTGACTCACTCACTCACCCACTCACTCACTCACTCACCCACTCATTCACACACTCACTCACTCACCCACTCACTCACCCACTCACTCATCCACTCACTCACCCACTCACCCACTCACTCACTGACTCACTCACTCACCCACTCACTCACACACTCACTCACACACTCACTGACTAACTCACACACTCACTGACTAACTCACACACTCACACACTCATTCACTCACTCACCTACTCACTCACTCACACACTCACTCACCCACTCACTCACCCACTCACCCACTCACTCACTCACTGACTCACTCACCCAATCACTCACACACTCACTCACTCACACACTCATTGACTAACTCACACACTCACTGACTAACTCACACACTCACACACTCATTCACTCACTCACCCACTCACCCACTCACTCACTCACCCACCCACTCACTCACTCACCCACTCACTCACTCACTCACCCACTCACTCACTCACCCACTCACTCACTCAGACACTCACCCACTCACTCACTTACTCACTCACCCACTCACTCACTCACACACTCACTCACTCACTCACCCACTCACTCACTCACTGACTCACTCATCCACTCACTCACTCACTCACCCACTCAGTCACTCACTGACTCACTCACCCACTCACTCACACACTCACTCACTCACTCACACACTCACTCACCCACTCACTCACTCACCCACTCACTCACTCACTGACTCACTCACCCACTCACTCACACACTCACTCACACACTCACTGACTAACTCACCCACTCACCCACTCACTCACTCACCCACTCACTCACTCACTCACCCACTCACTCACTCACCCACTCACTCACTCAGACACTCACCCACTCACTCATTCACTCACTCACTCACTCACCCACTCACTCACTCACTCACCCACTCACTCACTCACCCACTCACCTACTCACCCACTCACTCACACACTCACACACTCACGCACCCACTCACTCACTCATCCACTCACTCACTCACCTACTCACTCACACACTGACTCACACACTCACACACTCACCCACTCACTCACTCAACCACTTACTCACACACTCACTCACCCACTCACCCACTCACTAACTCACTGACTCACCCACTCACTCACCCACTCACTCACCTACTCACTCACTCACCTACCCACTCACTCACCTACCCACTCGCCCATTCACTCACTCACTTTCTCACCCACCCACTCACTCACCCACTCACCTACTCACTGACTCACCCACTCACCTACTCACTGACTCACCCAAACACTCACCCACCCACCCACTCACTCACTCACCTACTCACTGACTCACCCACTCACCCACCCACTCACCCACTCACTCCCTCACCTACTCACTGACTCACCCACTCACTCAACCACTCACACACTCACTCACCTACTCACCCACTCACTCACCTACTCACCTACTCACCCACTCACCCACTCACCTACTCACTGATTCACCCACTCACTCACCCACCCACCCACCCACTCACTCACTCACCCACCCACTCACTCAACCACTCACTGACTCACCCACTCACTCACCTACTCACTCACCCACTCACTCACCTACTCACCCACTCACTCACCCACTCACTCACTAACCTACTCACCCACTCACTCACTCACCCACTCACCTACTCACTCACTCACCCACCTACTCACTCACCCACTCACTCACTTACCTACTCACCCACTCACTCACCCACTCACCTACTCACTCACTCACTCACCTACTCACTCATTCACCCACTCACTCACCCACTCACCCACCCACTCATCCACTCACCTACTCACCCACTCACTCACCCACCCACTCACCTATTCACTCACCCACTCACTCACTCACTCACCCACTAACCCACTCACTCACCTACTCGCCCACTCACTCACTCACTCACCTTCTCACCCACTCACTCACTTACTCATCAACTCACTCACTCACCCTCTTACCCTCTCACTCACCCACTCACTCACCCTCTCACCCACTCACTCACCCACTCACTCACTTACCCACCCACCCACTCACCCACTCACTCACCCACTCACTCACCCACTCACCCACACACTCACCCACTCACTCACCCACTCACCCACACACACACATAGACACACAACAACAACCGCCATTCGCCACTAAGTGGCGGTGACGTCACCACGGCGCTTGTGCCAGGCCATGTGCACCTTGAGGCCACGTGAAGTGTAGAACGCCCGCTGGCAGGAGGTCACGGGGCAGACCCAGCAGGTGCCACGGGTCGACTGACTGAGATGAGTGGCTGGTGCACCACCTGTGCCCCATACTGTGCCAACCTGCTGTGCTTTAGCCACCCGGCGCTCCGCTTGTTGTTGTGAGCGTCGCTCCTCCGCCCTCCGTTGTTGTTGGAGGGCGACTACCTCCAACTGCCCAGTAGCGTCCCTCACGAGCCTCCTCCACAGAGGCCGATCTTGACACCGCTGGTACCAGTCATCGGCAAGTCCACTCAGCTCCACGTCCTCCTGTACCACATCACTCCATCTCTTCTCTAGCCCGTGCCGCGCCCGCTTAGCCCCCTCGATCCGGCCGAGCAAAAGCTGTTTCGGCATGCGGTGGCTGGGCATGCGGGCTACATGACCCAGCCATCGCAGCGTTGTCTGCCGGAGGAGCTCACCGATGGGACCTTGCCCAGATCTTTCAAGGTTGCGTAACGCTGTGTGGAAGCTACCTGGTCTGTCGCTCCGCACTAAGCTTCAGGTCTTCTCGGCCACGGTCATTCCCTCCCTTCTCTACGCTTGCGAAACGTGGACCCCCCTAATGGAACATCTTCCCCGGTTAGAAACATTTAGGCTAGCCTGCCTACGATCCATCCTGGGTTTAACCAGGCTGGATTGTGTGAGGAGCTCACAAATCCTTGAAATATCTGGACAAATTCCCATCGGTGAGCTCCTCCAGCAGGCAAGGCTGCGTTGGCTGGGTCATGTAGCCCGCATGCCCAGCCACCGCATGCCGAAACAGCTTTTGTTTGGCTGCATTGAGGGGGCTAAGCGGGCGCGGCACGGGCTAGAGAAGAGATGGAGTGATGTGGTACAGGAGGACGTGGAGCTGAGTGGACTTGCCGATGACTGGTACCAGCGGTGTGAAGATCGGCTTCTGTGGAGGAGGCTCGTGAAGGATGCTACTGGGCAGTTGGAGGTAGTCGCCCTCCAACAACAACGGAGGGCGGAGGAGCGACGCTCACAACAACGAGCGGAGCGCCGGGTGGCTAAAGCACAGCAGGTTGGCACAGTAGGGGGCACAGGTGGTGCATCAGCCAGTCATCTCAGTCATCTCAGTCAGTCGACCCGTGGCACCTGCTGGGTCTGCCCGTGACCTCCTGCCAGCGGGCGTTCGACACTTCACGTGGCCTCAGGGTGCACATAGCCTGGCACAAGCGTCGTGGTGACGTCACCGCCACTTAGTGGCGAATGGTGGTGGTGATGGTGGTGATGATGATGGTGATTGCGGTGATGATGATGATGGTGATTGCGGTGATGATGATGATGGTGATTGCGGTGATGATGATGGTGATTGCGGTGATGATGATGGTGATTGCGGTGATGATGATGGTGATTGCGGTGATGATGATGGTGATTGCGGTGATGATGATCGTGATTGCGGTGATGATGATGGTGATTACGGTGATGATGATGGTGATTGCGGTGATGATGATGATGGTGATTGCGGTGATGATGATGGTGGTGATGATGATCGTGATTGCGGTGATGATGATGGTGATTACGGTGATGATGATGGTGATTGCGGTGATGATGATGATGGTGATTGCGGTGATGATGATGGTGGTGATGATGATGGTGATTGCGGTGATGATGATGATGGTGATTGCGGTGATGATGATGATGATGGTGATTGGGGTGATGATGATGTCTCTGCTTCAGGTTATCTCCTCTTCAAAGAATTTTGTGAAAACGTGGTGGACGAACCGGTACCACAACTCCAGTTCTACGAAGAGGTGGGTGGGTGGGTGGTGGTGGGTGGGTGAGTGGGTGGGTGAGTGGTGGGTGGGTGAGTGGGTGGGTGGGTGATTGGGTGGGTGGGTGAGTGGTGGGTGAGTGGTGGGTGAGTTGTGGGTGGGTGAGTGGGTGGGTGGATGGGTGAGTGGGTGGGTGGATGGGTGAGTGGGTGGGTGGATGGGTGAGTGGGTGGGTGGATGGGTGAGTGGTGGGTGGGTGGGTGAGTGGGTGGGTGAGTGGGTGGGTGGGTGAGTGGGTGGGTGAGTGAGTGGTGGGTGGGTGAGTGGGTGAGTGAGTGGGTGGGTGAGTGAGTGGGTGGGTGAGTGGGTGGGTGGGTTGGTGGGTGAGTGAGTGGTGGGTGGGTGGGTGAGTGGGTGGGTGAGTGGGTGGGTGAGTGGGTGGGTGGGTGAGTGGGTGGGTGAGTGGGTGGGTGGGTGGGTGGGTGAGTGGGTGGGTGAGTGGGTGGGTGGGTGAGTGGGTGGGTGGGTGGGTGTGTGGGTGGGTGGGGGGGTGAGTGGGTGGGTGGGTGAGTGGGTGGGTGGGTGAGTGGGTGGGTGGGTGGGTGTGTGGGTGGGTGGGTGGGTGAGTGGGTGGGTGAGTGGTGGGTGGGTGGGTGGGTGAGTGGTGGGTGGGTGGGTGAGTGGTGGGTGGGTGGGTGAGTGGTGGGTGGGTGGGTGAGTGGTGGGTGGGTGGGTGAGTGGTGGGTGGGTGGGTGAGTGGTGGGTGGGTGGGTGGGTGAGTGGTGGGTGGGTGGGTGTGGAGTGGGTGGGTGGGTGTGGAGTGGGTGGGTGAGGAGTGGGTGGGTGGGTGAGTGGGTGGGTGGGTGAGTGGGTGGGTGAGTGGGTAGGTGGGTGAGTGGGTAGGTGGGTGGGTGAGTGGTGGGTGGGTGAGTGGGTGAGTGGGTGGGTGAGTGGGTGGGTGGGTGAGTGGGTGGGTGGGTGGGTGGGTGAGTGGGTGGGTGGGTGGGTGAGTGGGTGGGTGGGTGAGTGGGTGGGTGGGTGAGTGGGTGGGTGGGTGGGTGAGTGGGTGGGTGGGTGGGTGAGTGGGTGGTGGGTGGGTGAGTGGGTGGGTGGGTGGGTGAGTGGGTGGGTGGGTGAGTGGGTCGGTGAGTGGGTGGGTCGGTGAGTGGGTGGGTGGGTCGGTGAGTGGGTGGGTGGGTGAGTGGGTGGGTGGGTGAGTGGGTGGGTGGGTGAGTGGGTGGGTGAGTGGGTGGGTGGGTACGTGGGTGGGTGGGTGAGTGGGTGGGTGGGTGGGTGAGTGGGTGGGTGAGTGAGTGGGTGGGTGAGTGAGTGGGTGGGTGAGTGAGTGGGTGGGTGTGTGGGTGGGTGAGTGGGTGGGTGAGTGGGTGGGTGGGTACGTGGGTGGGTGGGTGAGTGGGTGGGTGAGTGGGTGGTTGAGTGAGTGGGTGGGTGAGTGAGTTTGTGGGTGAGTGAGTGGGTGGGTAAGTGAGTGAGTGGGTGGGTGGGTGAGTGGGTGGGTGGGTGAGTGGGTGGGTGGGTACGTGGGTGGGTGGGTGGGTGAGTGGGTGGGTGGGTGAGTGGGTGGGTGGGTGGGTGAGTGGGTGGGTGGGTGGGTGAGTGGGTGGGTGGGTGAGTGGGTGAGTGGGTGAGTGGGTGGGTACGTGGGTGGGTGAGTGGGTGGGTGGGTGAGTGGGTGGGTGGGTACGTGGGTGGGTGAGTGGGTGAGTGGGTGAGTGGGTGGGTGGGTGAGTGGGTGAGTGGGTGGGTGGGTGGATACGTGAGTGGGTGGGTGAGTGGGTGGGTGAGTGGGTGAGTGAGTGGGTGATTGAGTGAGTGAGTGGGTGAGTGAGTGGTGGGTGGGTGAGTGAGTGGTGAGTGGGTGGGTGGGTGAGTGGGTGGTTTAGTGGGTGGGTGAGTGGGTGGGTGGATGAGTGGGTGGGTGGGTGGGTGAGTGGGTAGGTGGGTGAGTGGGTGGGTGGGTGGGTGAGTGGGTGAGTGGGTGAGTGGGTGGGTGAGTGAGTGGGTTGGTGGGTGAGTGGGTGAGTGGGTGAGTGGGTGAGTTTGTGGGTGGGTGGGTACGTGGGTGCGTGAGTGGGTGGGTGGGTGAGTGGGTGGGTGAGTGGGTGGGTGGGTGGGTAAGTGGGTGGGTGGGTGGGTGAGTGAGTGATTGGGTGAGTGAGTGGGTGGGTGAGTGGGTGAGTGAGTGAGTGGGTGGGTGAGTGAGTGGGTGGGTGAGTGGGTGGGTGGGTGAGTGAGTGGGTGAGTGAATGGGTGGGTTAGTGAGTGAGTGAGTGGGTGGGTGAGTGAGTGAGTGAGTGGTGGGTGGGTGCGTGGTTGGGTGAGTCGGTGGGTGAGTGGGTGGGTGAGTGAGTGGGTGAGTGAGTGAGTGGGTGGGTGAGTGGGTGGGTGGGTGGGTGAGTGAGTGAGTGAGTGGGTGAGTGGGTGGGTGAGTGGGCGGGCGGGTGAGTGGGTGGGTGGGTGAGTGAGTGGGTGGGTGAGTGGGTGGGTGAGTGGGTGGGTGAGTGGGTGGGTGGGCGGGCGAGTGGGTGGGCGGGCGAGTGGGTGGGCGGGCGAGTGGGTGGGCGGGCGAGCGGGTGGGCGGGTGGGTGAGTGAGTGAGTGGGTGGGTGGGTGGGTGAGTGCGTGGGTGGTTGAGTGGGTGGGTGAGTGCATGGGTGGGTGGGTGAATGGGTGGGTGGAAGAGTGCGTGGGTGGGTGAGTGCGTGGTTGGGTGGGTAGGTGAGTGGGTGGGTGGGTGAGTGGGTGGGTGGGTGGGTGAGTGAGTGAGTGGGTGGGTGGGTGGGTGAGTGGGTGGGTGGGTGGGTGAGTGAGTGAGTGGTTAGGTGGGTGGCTGGGTGGGTGGGTGGCTGAGTGGGTGGGCGGGCGAATGGTGTGGCTGGGTGGGTGGGTGGCTGGGTGGGTGGGCGGGCGAGTGGGTGGGCGGGCGAGTGGGTGGGCGGGCGAGTGGGTGTTCAGGCGAGCGGGTGGGCGGGTGGGTGAGTGTGTGAGTGGGTGGTTGAGTGGGTGGGTGAGTGGGTGGGTGAGTGGGTGGGTGAGTGTGTGGGTTGGTGAATGGGTGGGTGGGTGAGTGCGTGGATGGGTGGGTGAGTGCGTGGTTGGGTGGGTGGGTGAGTGGGTGGCTGCGTGAGTGGGTGGCTGGGTGAGTGGGTGGCTGGGTGGGTGAGTGGGTGGGTGGGTGAGTGGGTGGGTGGGTGGGTGAGTGAGTGAGTGGGTGGGTGGGTGAGTTGGGTGGGTGCGTGGGTGGGTGGGTGGGTTGGTGGGTGGCTGGGTGGGTGGGTGGGCAAGTGAATGAATGTCCTTGTTTGTCAATGGGTGAGTTGGTTTACCAACTTTCCACTGGACTCCCCTCCCGCTCACCCCTCCCGCTCACCCTCCCGCTCCCCCTCCCACTCACCCTCCCGCTCAGATCAAGGAGTATGAGAAGCTGGACTCTGAGGATGAACGTCTCCAGCGGAGCCGGCAAATCTACGACAAATACATCATGAAGGAACTTCTCTCATCCTCACACGTGGGCCCCTCACCACTCACTCACTCACCACTCACTCACCACTCACTCACCACTCACTCACCACTCACTCACTCACTCACCACTCACTCACTCACCCACTCACTCACTCACTCACCACTCACTCACTCACCCACTCACTCACTCACCACTCACTCACTCACTCACCACTCACTCACTCACTCACCCACTCACCACTCACTCACCCACTCACCCACTCACTCACTCACCCACTCACTCACCCACTCACTCACCCACTCACCCACCCACTCACCCACCCACTCACCCACCCACTCACCCACCCACTCACCCACCCACTCACCCACCCACTCACCCACCCACTCACCCACCCACTCACCCACCCACTCACTCACCCACTCACTCACTCATTCACCCACTCACTCACCCACCCACTCACTCACTCACCCACTCACTCACTCACTCTCTCACCCACCCACCTACCCACTCACTCACCCACTCACTCACCCACTCACTCACTCTCTCACCCACTCTCCCACCCACTCACTCACCCACCCACCCACTTGCACTGAATGTTACTGACAGCACTGGGGGAGACAAAGGCAGACGGGAGGCATGGTGGGGGTGGTGCTCCCCTCCACCCCACCTTGCCCTTGCTCCTGTGGAATGTGTGAGCTACCTGGGGGAGCTCTACCTGTACCTTGTGTCTCTCCCACAGCCCTTCTCCAAAAAGGCGGTGGACCACGTCCAGACTCACCTGAGCAGACGACTCGTACCTAGCGCCCTGTTCCAGGTTCCTCACCACTCACCACTCACTCACCACTCACTCACCACTCACTCACCTCTCACCTACTCACTCACCATTCACTCAACACTCACTCACTCACCACTCACCCACTCACTCACCCACCCACCCACTCACTCACCACTCACTCACTCACCTACTCACTCACCCACACACTCACCTACTCACTCACTCACTCACCCACTCACTCACTCACCCACTCACTCACTCACCCACTCACTCACCCACTCACTCACTCACTCACCTACTCACTCACTCACCCACTCACTCACTCACCACTCACTCACTCACTCACCTACTCACTCACTCACTCACCACTCACCCACTTACTCACCACTCACTCACCACTCACTCACCACTCACTCACCACTCACCACTCACTCACTAACCACTCACTCACCCACTCACCACTCACTCAACACTCACTCACCACTCACTCACTCACCCACTCACTCACTCACCCACTCACTCACTCACCCACTCACCACTCACCCACTCACTCACTCACCACTCACTCACCTACTCACTCACTCACCACTCACTCACTCACCCACTCACCACTCACTACTCACCTACTCACTCACCACTCACTCACCACTCACTCACTCACCACTCACAACTCACTCACCACTCACCACTCACTACTCACTCACTCACACTCACCCACTCACCCACTCACTCACTCACCACTCACTACTCACTCACCACTCACTACTCACTCACCACTCACTCACCTACTCACTCACCACTCACTCACACACTCACCTACTCACTCACTCACCACTCACTCACTCACTAACCACTCACCACTCACTCACCCACTCACTCACTCACTCACCCACCCACTCACCCACTCACCCACTCACTCACCACTCACTACTCACTCACCACTCACTCACCACTCACTCACCTACTCACTCACCACTCACTCACCACTCACTCACTCACCCACTCACCTACTCACTCACTCACTCACCACTCACCCACTCACCCACTCACTCACTCACCCACTCACCTACTCACTCACTCACCCACTCACCTACTCACTCACTCACCCACTCACCACTCACTCACCACTCACCACTCACTCACTCTGTCACTCACTCACTCACCACTCACTCACCATTCACTCACCACTCACTCACTCACCACTCACTCACCACTCACTCACCACTCACTTACCACTCACTCACCACTCACCCACGCATGCTCACAGTCTGTGTGTGTGTCTGTGTGTGTCTGTGTGTGTGTGTCTGTGTGTGTGTGTGTCTGTGTGTTTGTCTTTGTGTGTGTTTGTGTCTGTGTGTGTCTGTGTGTATCTGTGTGTGTGTGTCTGCCTGTCTGTGTGTGTGTCTGTGTGTGTCTTTGTGTGTGTCTGTGTGTGTGTTTGTCTTTGTGTGTGTGTCCGTGTGTCTGCCTGTCTGTGTTTCTGCCTGTCTGTGTGTTTCTACAGCCGTATATCGAAGAGATATGCAGCAGTCTACAGGGAGAGATCTTTAAGAAATTCATAGACAGGTTAGTGTGGTGTGTGTACTGTGTCTACCTGTGTGCGCTGTGAGTGAGTGAGTGGGTGATCAGGTCAAAGTGGGTGGGTTAGCAAGTGGGTGGGTGGGTGGGTGAGCGAGCGAGAGGGTGGGTGGGTGAGTGAGTGAGTGGGTGGGTCGGCGGGTGAGCGAGTGAGCGGGTGGGTGGGTAGGAGAGTGAGTTGGTGGCTGAGTCAGTTAACGAGTGGGTGGGTGGGCGAGCGGGCGGGCGAGTGGGTGAGCGAGCGGGTGAGCGAGCGGGCGGGCGGGCGAGTGGGTGGGTGAGCGGGCGGGCAGGCGAGTGGGTGAGCGAGCGAGCGAGTGAGTGGGTGAGCGAGCGAGTGGGTGAGCGGGTGAGTGGGTGAGCGGGCGGGCGGGCGAGTGGGTGAGCGAGTGAGTGGGTGAGCGAGCGAGTGGGTGAGCGGGTGAGTGGGTGAGCGGGTGAGTGGGTGAGCGGGTGAGTGGGTGAGCGGGTGAGTGGGTGAGCGGGTGAGTGGGTGAGCGGGTGAGTGGGTGAGCGAGCGAGTGAGTGAGCGGGTGAGTGGGTGAGCGGGTGAGTGGGTGAGCGGGTGAGTGGGTGAGCGAGCGAGTGGGTGAGCGAGTGAGTGGGTGAGCGGGTGAGTGGGTGAGCGGGTGAGTGGGTGAGCGGGTGAGTGGGTGAGCGGGTGAGTGGGTGAGCGGGTGAGTGGGTGAGCGGGTGAGTGGGTGAGCGGGTGAGTGGGTGAGCGGGTGAGTGGGTGAGCGGGTGAGTGGGTGAGCGGGTGAGTGGGTGAGCGGGTGAGTGGGTGAGCGAGCGAGTGGGTGAGCGAGTGAGTGGGTGAGCGGGTGAGTGGGTGAGCGGGTGAGTGGGTGAGCGGGTGAGTGGGTGAGCGAGCGAGTGGGTGAGCGAGCGAGTGGGTGAGCGAGTGAGTGGGTGAGCGGGTGAGTGGGTGAGCGGGTGAGTGGGTGAGCGAGTGAGTGGGTGAGCGAGCGAGTGGGTGAGCGAGTGAGTGGGTGAGTGGGTGAGCGGGTGAGCGAGCGAGTGGGTGAGCGGGTGAGTGGGTGAGCGGGTGAGTGGGTGAGCGGGCGAGCAGGTGAGTGAGCGGGTGAGTGGGTGAGCGGGTGAGTGGGTGAGCGGGTGAGTGGGTGAGCGAGCGAGTGGGTGAGCGAGTGAGTGGGTGAGCGGGTGAGTGGGTGAGCGGGTGAGTGGGTGAGCGGGTGAGTGTGTGAGCGGGTGAGTGGGTGAGCGGGTGAGTGAGTGAGCGGGTGAGTGGGTGAGCGGGTGAGTGGGTGAGCGGGTGAGTGGGTGAGCGGGTGAGTGGGTGAGCGGGTGAGTGGGTGAGCGGGTGAGTGGGTGAGCGAGCGAGTGGGTGAGCGAGTGAGTGGGTGAGCGGGTGAGTGGGTGAGCGGGTGAGTGGGTGAGCGGGTGAGTGGGTGAGCGAGCGAGTGGGTGAGCGAGCGAGTGGGTGAGCGAGTGAGTGGGTGAGCGGGTGAGTGGGTGAGCGGGTGAGTGGGTGAGCGAGTGAGTGGGTGAGCGAGCGAGTGGGTGAGCGAGTGAGTGGGTGAGTGGGTGAGCGGGTGAGCGAGCGAGTGGGTGAGCGGGTGAGTGGGTGAGCGGGTGAGCGGGTGAGTGGGTGAGCGGGTGAGCGGGTGAGCGGGTGAGTGGGTGAGCGGGTGAGTGGGTGAGCGGGTGAGTGGGTGAGCGGGTGAGTGGGTGAGCGGGTGAGTGGGTGAGTGGGTGAGCGGGTGAGTGGGTGAGCGGGTGAGTGGGTGAGCGGGTGAGTGGGTGAGCGGGTGAGTGGGTGAGCGGGTGAGTGGGTGAGCGGGTGAGTGGGCTGAGCGGGTGAGTGGGTGAGCGAGTGAGTGGGTGAGCGAGCGAGTGGGTGAGTGAGTGGGTGAGTGAGCGAGTGAGTGGGTGAGCGAGCGAGTGGGTGAGCGAGCGAGTGGGTGAGCGGGTGAGTGGGTGAGCGGGTGAGTGGGTGAGCGGGTGAGTGGGTGAGCGGGTGAGTGGGTGAGCGGGTGAGTGGGTGAGCGGGTGAGGGGGTGAGCGGGTGAGTGGGTGAGCGGGTGAGCGGGTGAGCGGGCGAGTGGGTGAGCGGGTGAGTGGGTGAGTGGGTGAGCGGGTGAGCGGGTGAGCGGGTGAGTGGGTGAGCGGGTGAGTGGGTGAGCGGGTGAGTGGGTGAGCGGGTGAGTGGGTGAGCGGGTGAGTGGGTGAGCGGGTGAGTGGGTGAGCGGGTGAGTGGGTGAGTGGGTGAGCGGGTGAGTGGGTGAGCGGGTGAGTGGGTGAGCGGGTGAGTGGGTGAGCGGGTGAGTGGGTGAGCGGGTGAGTGGGTGAGCGGGTGAGTGGGTGAGCGAGTGAGTGGGTGAGCGAGCGAGTGGGTGAGTGAGTGGGTGAGTGAGCGAGTGAGTGGGTGAGCGAGCGAGTGGGTGAGGCGAGCGAGTGGGTGAGCGGGTGAGTGGGTGAGCGGGTGAGTGGGTGAGCGGGTGAGTGGGTGAGCGGGTGAGTGGGTGAGCGGGTGAGTGGGTGAGCGGGTGAGTGGGTGAGCGGGTGAGTGGGTGAGCGGGTGAGCGGGTGAGCGGGCGAGTGGGTGAGCGGGTGAGTGGGTGAGCGAGCGAGTGGGTGAGCGAGTGAGTGGGTGAGCGGGTGAGTGGGTGAGCGGGTGAGTGGGTGAGCGGGTGAGTGGGTGAGCGGGTGAGTGGGTGAGCGGGTGAGTGGGTGAGCGGGTGAGTGGGTGAGCGGGTGAGTGGGTGAGCGGGTGAGTGGGTGAGCGGGTGAGTGGGTGAGCGAGTGAGTGGGTGAGCGAGCGAGTGGGTGAGCGAGCGAGTGGGTGAGCGGGTGAGTGGGTGAGCGGGTGAGTGGGTGAGCGGGTGAGTGGGTGAGCGGGTGAGTGGGTGAGCGGGTGAGTGGGTGAGCGGGTGAGTGGGTGAGCGGGTGAGTGGGTGAGCGGGTGAGCGGGTGAGCGGGCGAGTGGGTGAGCGGGTGAGGTGGGTGAGCGAGCGAGTGGGTGAGCGAGTGAGTGGGTGAGCGGGTGAGTGGGTGAGCGGGTGAGTGGGTGAGCGGGTGAGTGGGTGAGCGGGTGAGTGGGTGAGCGGGTGAGTGGGTGAGCGGGTGAGCGGGTGAGCGGGTGAGTGGGTGAGCGGGTGACAGGGTGAGCGAGTGACAGGGTGAGCGGGTGAGCGGGTGACAGGGTGAGCGGGTGAGCGGGTGAGCGGGTGACAGGGTGAGCGGGTGACAGGGTGAGCGGGTGACAGGGTGAGCGGGTGACAGGGTGAGCGGGTGACAGGGTGAGCGGGTGAGTGGGTGAGCGGGTGAGCGGGTGAGCGGGTGAGCGGGTGAGCGGGTGACAGGGTGAGCGGGTGAGTGGGTGAGCGGGTGAGTGGGTGAGCGGGTGAGTGGGTGAGCGGGTGAGTGGGTGAGCGGGTGAGTGGGTGAGCGGGTGAGTGGGTGAGCGAGTGAGTGGGTGAGCGAGCGAGTGGGTGAGTGAGTGGGTGAGTGAGCGAGTGAGTGGGTGAGCGAGCGAGTGGGTGAGCGAGCGAGTGGGTGAGCGGGTGAGTGGGTGAGCGGGTGAGTGGGTGAGCGGGTGAGTGGGTGAGCGGGTGAGTGGGTGAGCGGGTGAGTGGGTGAGCGGGTGAGTGGGTGAGCGGGTGAGTGGGTGAGCGGGTGAGCGGGTGAGCGGGCGAGTGGGTGAGCGGGTGAGTGGGTGAGCGAGCGAGTGGGTGAGCGAGCGAGTGGGTGAGCGGGTGAGTGGGTGAGCGGGTGAGTGGGTGAGCGGGTGAGTGGGTGAGCGGGTGAGTGGGTGAGCGGGTGAGTGGGTGAGCGGGTGAGTGGGTGAGCGGGTGAGCGGGTGAGCGGGTGAGTGGGTGAGCGGGTGAGCGGGTGAGCGGGTGACAGGGTGAGCGGGTGAGCGGGTGAGCGGGTGAGCGGGTGAGCGGGTGAGCGGGTGAGCGGGTGAGCGGGTGAGTGGGTGGGTGAGTGGGTGAGCGGGTGAGTGGGTGAGCGGGTGAGTGGGTGAGCGGGTGAGTGGGGTGAGCGGGTGAGTGGGGTGAGCGGGTGAGTGGGTGAGTGGGTGAGCGGGTGAGCGGGTGAGCGGGTGAGTGGGTGAGCGGGTGAGTGGGTGAGCGGGTGAGTGGGTGAGCGGGTGAGTGGGTGAGGCGGGTGAGTGGGTGAGCGGGTGAGTGGGTGAGCGGGTGAGTGGGTGAGTGGGTGAGCGGGTGAGTGGGTGAGCGGGTGAGTGGGTGAGCGGGTGAGTGGGTGAGCGGGTGAGTGGGTGAGCGGGTGAGTGGTGAGCGGGTGAGTGGGTGAGCGGGTGAGTGGGTGAGCGAGTGAGTGGGTGAGCGAGCGAGTGGGTGAGTGAGGGTGTGAGTGAGCGAGTGAGTGGGTGAGCGAGCGAGTGGGTGAGCGAGCGAGTGGGTGAGCGGGTGAGTGGGTGAGCGGGTGAGTGGGTGAGCGGGTGAGTGGGTGAGCGGGTGAGTGGGTGAGCGGGTGAGTGGGTGAGCGGGTGAGTGGGTGAGCGGGTGAGTGGGTGAGCGGGTGAGCGGGTGAGCGGGCGAGTGGGTGAGCGGGTGAGTGGTGAGCGAGCGAGTGGGTGAGCGAGTGAGTGGGTGAGCGGGGGTGAGTGGGTGAGCGGGTGAGTGGGTGAGCGGGTGAGTGGGTGAGCGGGTGAGTGGGTGAGCGGGTGAGTGGGTGAGCGGGTGAGTGGAGCGGGTGAGTGGTGAGCGGGTGAGTGGGTGAGCGGGTGAGTGGGTGAGCGAGTGAGTGGGTGAGCGAGCGAGTGGGTGAGCGAGCGAGTGGGTGAGCGGGTGAGTGGGTGAGCGGGTGAGTGGGTGAGCGGGTGAGTGGGTGAGCGGGTGAGTGGGTGAGCGGGTGAGTGGGTGAGCGGGTGAGTGGGTGAGCGGGTGAGTGGGTGAGCGGGTGAGCGGGTGAGCGGGCGAGTGGGTGAGCGGGTGAGTGGGTGAGCGAGCGAGTGGGTGAGCGAGTGAGTGGGTGAGCGGGTGAGTGGGTGAGCGGGTGAGTGGGTGAGCGGGTGAGTGGGTGAGCGGGTGAGTGGGTGAGCGGGTGAGTGGGTGAGCGGGTGAGTGGGTGAGCGGGTGAGCGGGTGAGCGGGTGAGTGGGTGAGCGGGTGAGTGGGTGAGCGGGTGAGTGGGTGAGCGGGTGAGCGGGTGAGCGGGTGAGCGGGTGAGTGGGTGAGCGGGTGAGTGGGTGAGCGGGTGAGTGGGTGAGCGGGTGAGTGGGTGAGCGGGTGAGCGGGTGAGCGGGTGAGTGGGTGAGTGGGTGAGTGGGTGAGCGGGTGAGCGGGTGAGCGGGTGAGTGGGTGAGCGGGTGAGTGGGTGAGCGGGTGAGTGGGTGAGCGGGTGAGTGGGTGAGCGGGTGAGTGGGTGAGCGGGTGAGTGGGTGAGCGGGTGAGTGGGTGAGCGAGTGAGTGGGTGAGCGAGCGAGTGGGTGAGTGAGTGGGTGAGTGAGCGAGTGAGTGGGTGAGCGAGCGAGTGGGTGAGCGAGCGAGTGGGTGAGCGGGTGAGTGGGTGAGCGGGTGAGTGGGTGAGCGGGTGAGTGGGTGAGCGGGTGAGTGGGTGAGCGGGTGAGTGGGTGAGCGGGTGAGTGGGTGAGCGGGTGAGTGGGTGAGCGGGTGAGCGGGTGAGCGGGGCGAGTGGGTGAGCGGGTGAGTGGGTGAGCGAGCGAGTGGGTGAGCGAGTGAGTGGGTGAGCGGGTGAGTGGGTGAGCGGGTGAGTGGGTGAGCGGGTGAGTGGGTGAGCGGGTGAGTGGGTGAGCGGGTGAGTGGGTGAGCGGGTGAGTGGGTGAGCGGGTGAGTGGGTGAGCGGGTGAGTGGGTGAGCGGGTGAGTGGGTGAGCGGGTGAGTGGGTGAGCGGGTGAGCGGGTGAGCGGGTGAGCGGGTGAGTGGGTGAGCGGGTGAGTGGGTGAGCGGGTGAGTGGGTGAGCGGGTGAGTGGGTGAGCGGGTGAGTGGGTGAGCGGGTGAGTGGGTGAGCGGGTGAGTGGGTGAGCGGGTGAGTGGGTGAGCGGGTGAGCGGGTGAGCGGGTTGGTTGTTCTGTGGGTGGTGAGGTGGAGCAAGCCGCAGCTCCAGTTGCTGTGTACGAGCGACGGCGAGGGGTCGTCCATGAGCCTTGTCGCTCTCCCCCCTCCCCCTGCAGTGAGAAGTTCACGCGGTTCTGCCAGTGGAAGAACGTGGAGCTGAATATTCACGTACGGACACACGCGCACACATACACACGCACGTACACACTTTACACACACACGTACACACGTATACACACGCACGTACACACGTATACACACACACGTATATACACACACACACGTACACACATACACACGCACGTACACACGTATACACACACACACGTATACACACACAGGTATATACACACACACACGTACACACACATACACGCACGTACACACGTATACACACACAACAACAACAACCGCCATTCGCCACTAAGTGGCGGACACGTCACCACGACGCTTGTGCCAGGCTATGTGCACCTTGAGGCCACGTGAAGTGTCGAACGCCCGCTGGCAGGAGGTCACGGGGCAGACCCAGGTACCACGGGTCGACTCACTGAGATGACTGGCTGATGCACCACCTGTGCCCCCTACTGTGCCAACCTGCTGTGCTTTAGCCACCCGGCGCTCCGCTCGTTGTTCTGAGCGTCGCTCCTCCGCCCTCCGTTGTTGTTGGAGGGCGACTGCCTCCAACTGCCCAGTAGCATCCTTCATGAGCCTCCTCCACAGAGGCCGATCTTGACACCGCTGGTACCAGTCATCGGCAAGTCCACTCAGCTCCACGTCCTCCTGTACCACATCACTCCATCTCTTCTCTAGCCCGTGCCGCGCGTGCTTAGCCCCCTCGATCCGGCCGAACAAAAGCTGTTTCGGCATGCGGGCTACATGACCCAGCCATCGCAGCCTTGCCCGCCGGAGGAGCTCACCGATGGGACCTTTCCCAGATCTTTCAAGGATTTGTGAGCTCCTCACACAATCCAGCCTGGTTAAACCCAGGATGGATCGTAAGCAGGCTAGCCTGAATGTTTCTAACCGGCGAAGATGTTCCATTAGGGGGGTCCACGTTTCGCAAGCGTAGAGAAGGGAGGGAATGACCGTGGCCGAGAAGACCTGAAGCTTAGTGTGGAGCGACAGACCAGGTAGCTTCCACACAGCCTTACGCAACCGATGAAAATATATTGCCGCTCGACTGATTCGGAGTGAGACCACACGTACACACGTACATACACACGTACATACACACACGCACGTACACACACGCACGTACACACACACGCACACACACGCACGTACAGACACACGCACACACACGTACGCACGTACACACACACGCACACACACGTACACACGTACACACACACACACGCAAACACGTACACACACACACGTACAAACACGCACGTACACACACGTACACACACACGCATGTATACACACACGTACACACACGCATGTACGTATACACACACGTACACACGCGCACGTACACACACGCACGTACACGCACGTACACACACACGCACGTACACACATACGCACGTACACACACACGCACGTACGCACGCACACGCACGTACACACACATGCACGCACGTACACACACGCACGTACACACACACGTACACACACACGCACGTACACACACACACGTACACACACGCACGTACACACACACGCACGTACACACATGCACATACACACACGTACACACACGCATGTACGTATACACACGTACATGCACGCACGTACACACGCGCAAATACACACACGCACGTACACACACACGCACACACACGTACACACGTACACACACACACACGCAAACACGTACACACACACACGTACAAACACGCACGTACACACACGTACACACACACGCATGTATACACACACGTACACACACGCATGTACGTATACACACACGTACACACGCGCACGTACACACACGCACGTACACGCACGTACACACACACGCACGTACACACATACGCACGTACACACACACGCACGTACGCACGCACACGCACGTACACACACATGCACGCACGTACACACACGCACGTACACACACACGTACACACACACGCACGTACACACACACACGTACACACACGCACGTACACACACACGCACGTACACACATGCACATACACACACGTACACACACGCATGTACGTATACACACGTACATGCACGCACGTACACACGCGCAAATACACACACGCACGTACACACACACGCACGTACACACACGCACATACACACACGTACACACACGCATGTACGTATACACACGTACATGCACGCACGTACACACGCGCACATACACATACGCACGTACACACACACGCACCACGTACACACACACGTACGTACACACACACACGCACGTACACACACACGCACACGTACACACACACGCTCCACGTACACACACACGCACCACGTACACACAGACACGCACGTACACACACACGCACCATGTACACACACACACACACGCACGTACACACACACGCACCATGTACACACACACACACGTACACACACACGCACCACGTACACACACGCACCACTTACACACACACGCACCACGTACACACACACGCACCACGTACACACACACACGCGCACGTACACACACACGCACCACGTACACACACACGCACCACGTACACACACACACGCACCACGTACACACACACACGCACCACGTACACACACACGCACCACGTACACACACACGCACCACGTACACACACACACGCACCACGTACACACACACACGCACCACGTACACACACACGCACCACGTACACACACACGCACCACGTACACACACACACGCACCACGTACACACACACACACACGCACCACGTACACACACACACACACACCACGTACATACACACGCACCATGTACACACACACGTACGTACACACACGCACATACACACACGTACACACACGCATGTACGTATACACACGTACATGCACGCACGTACACACGCGCACATACACATACGCACGTACACACACACGCACCACGTACACACACACGTACGTACACACACACACGCACGTACACACACACGCACACGTACACACACACGCTCCACGTACACACACACGCACCACGTACACACACACGCACCACGTACACACACACACACCACGTACACACACACACGCACCACGTACACACACACACGCACCACGTACACACACACGCACCATGTACACACACACACGCGCACGTACACACACACGCACCACGTACACACACACGCACCACGTACACACACACACGCACCACGTACACACACACGCACCACGTACACACACACGCACCACGTACACACACACGCACCACGTACACACACACACGCACCACGTACACACACACACACACGCACCACGTACACACACACACACACACCACGTACATACACACGCACCATGTACACACACACACACACACGTACACACACACGCACCACATACACACACACGCACCATGTACACACACACACACCACGTACACACACACACACCACATACACACACACACACACCACATACACACACACGCACCACGTACACACACGTAGAGGTTACCTGGGGGACCTTTGTATTTGATGCTTGCCCCCCTCTGCCCCCCCTCCCTCCCCTCCTTCCCCTGCCCCCCCCACCTGCCCCCCCACCTGCCCCCCCCACCTGCCCCCCCATCTGCCCCCCCCCACCGTAGCTGACGATGAACGATTTCAGCGTCCACCGGATCATCGGGCGCGGGGGTTTTGGTGAAGTCTACGGCTGCCGTAAGGCCGACACGGGAAAGATGTGAGACTCCTCACCCGCACGCTCACCCTCACCCACACCCTCACCCTCACCCTCACCCACACCCTCACCCACACCCTCACCCACACCCTCACCCTCACCCACACCCTCACCCTCACCCGCATGCTCACCACCAGCCTCACCCACACGCTCACCCTCACCCACACCCTCACCCACACCCTCACCACCACCCTCACCCACACCCTCACCCTCACCCTCACCCACACCCTCACCCACACCCTCACCCTCACCCACACCCACCACCCTCACCCGCACGCTCACCCTCACCCTCACCCTCACCCACACGCTCACCACCAGCCTCACCCGCACGCTCACCCTCACCCGCACGCTCACCCTCACCCACACGCTCACCACCAGCCTTACCCACACCC